TCATCTTCAATCGTTAATTCTTATTTTTCTTCTTGTCTAATTACCTATTTTTCATGTCAAAAAATATCTTATACAGGGTTAAATTGTTTTTATTTAGTTATTTTAATATCTACTAACTTTGTTATACTTATACAAACAATTACCTAAATTTTAGTTATTAGCCTGTGTACAACATTTAATAAGTTTTCTTCTTTGACAGTATAAATCAACAACTATGTCCAACACTTTTTTATCTGGCCTGGACCACACTAGCCTTAATGATCAATAATATATACCACCTATATATTTACTTTTATTACAATTATAATAACTTAATTTGCATTAAATTACCTGTTTTATAACTTAGGTCGCCAATAATGGCTGTAGAAACTTTTTTTAACCTCCAATTTTGTCGTAATCTTAATAACTCAATATGAAAATCGGGGGTTGTTCTGTTCCTTATGAATTCATTCTGACTACTTCTTAATCGATCTACAGCTGACATTATTATATTTGATGCACTAGCTAATGCCTATTTTCAAAATAATAAAATAACATTAATGAAATAATTATAAGCTATGATTAGTACTAGTTTATTTTATTGAATATATCTAATAAAGTTATGTACAATTTAGAGGTTTGTCTTAATATTAAAGTCGAAAAAATCAAACATCTTAACCGTATTTTATCTACAGTTTAGAAACCTAAACAATCTTCTGTAGTCAATGATTAAATTGAATAAAACTTAAAATAAATTTACATTATTCATAATGTTGGTTAAATCAGTGAACAGCAAGTTTATTTTTGTTATTTTTTTTTTAACATAGGTAATTTATCAAATTCAAAATAAATATTAAAAAATAATTATACATTTAAAAAATAATTTTGTTGTAAGGGGTTTGTCATTTTAATATATTTCAATTAATTTGTGTTTTCAAATATTCTTTATTATGCTCTATGGATCAGTTAGTTTGCAATAATTTCTATTAGGTATTAAAAGCAGCCTTCATTTCGTTTGAGCCCCAAGAATTTCAGTAGGAATAAGTAGTTTTTCTTCAAAAACATTCTAGTACATTCTGTCATCATCTTACTGTTTAATTAAGTAAAACGTTTTAGCTTACAGTGGTTCTAATAAGTATTTTATCATTTAAAATAGAAGCAGACGTTGATACTGTAGATGACATATGGATGGAAGACTGCATATGACAAGAATATTATTATTATTTAATTTATACATTTTCAAGTTTAAATTATTAAGTTATTTAGTGTAGGATAGCTACATTAAAATTTAGAATAGTAGATTCCTGTATACTATTGTAAGTAAATAAATTATGTATATATCAATTAGATAACTACAATAAATTAAAAATGTTAGATTTTCAAACCTTTTTGCGGAGATAAATTTGAGCCATTGGTTTGGTTTCGATTAAATCAGTAGGGATTGGATCAAGTATCATATATCGTTTTTCTTTTGTAACAGCTAATACATCTGATATAACACAAATCTCTGTTGCTGCTCTCCTTTAATAAGAGAATTGACAAATTAATAAACTAAATTGTACGATGTATAATCTTAACATTTTATATCATTACTTTAGTTTCGCAACTACTGAATCAATCCACCCAGATACAGGGGCATTAGGAGATGGCTCTTTGGATTCTTCTTCACTTTTGATCTCCACTTCTTGTTGTTTAGTGTCCTCGTCAACCTTACTAAAGTCAATTCTTTGAGCAAGCTTTGACAAATTGTCAGACATAGACAATGCCCTTAAAAAATTAAGAACAAACAAATTTAATTAGTTTTGAACAGGTTATCCAATGTATTACATCTGAAGTTGAACATGCTTACGGTTGATAGATTTCCTGTCCATCGTATGAAATTTCCTGGATTATATTTTCGGCTTGAGTTTCAATACTTATATTTACACTAGTAGAATACGCCATGATAAATAATCTACGGGTATCAATTTAGATTATTAAAAAGCTGAATTACTAATTAAACTTTAAATAAATCATAAAAGTTTCAATTGTCATTTCATTTAAGATAAAAAATTAACGTTTATAGTTTCATTCATTTTAGAAGAACATTAAGTGACAACTACTGTACTAGTTTACAGTCGTATCGAGTTTGACTGTTTCAGTCTAGTTTACTTCTGTATCTATAGATTTGAATATCGAAATGATGATTGATGAGTGGATTAGAGTGAATTAGAAAAATGATGCGAACACAGCTCAATAGAGCAAACTAGCAAGCGACGAGGCAACTAAACAAAAAATCAAAGTATACACCGACAATTTTTTCTCTGTTATCATCAACACTGGTTATAGCGCTACCGGTGGTCTTATTTGGCATCACATTTTAGGCTACAATAATATTACTTATTTTATCAGATATCACAGAGACAGAGTGCGCCCCTCAGACATATTAATTAACTAGCTGATCCGGTATTCCGGTGCACTTCGTTGCCCGTTAAGAATGCCCAACTCTATATAATAATATGATTAATATAATAATAATATACTCGCTTGTGACAATTGACAATGCGAGCAGTATATTTTCAAGTAGACAATCCACCTTATGCTGATTGTGGACCCCGCTAGAAGCTTACTCTTATGTTTTATTTTGTTGTGGATACGCCTATAGGCTATAAGTGCAACTTAGCCACCTTGGTAGGCAATTTGTATAAATACTATTGATGCATGCTGATATACTTGATCTGTCCAATGGCAACCAAAAAGCAAAAAAAAATGTCTACTAAAAATTAAGAATAGATTGTCGAAATTTACTTCTCGGAACAATTCATATCTACATCCCAATCAAACACATAATTTAAAACACAAAATGGTCAGGTTGCAGGTAGTTGGAAACCCGCGAGCCGCCGTGCCGTACAATATGTACAAATTACAAGTTTATTTTAATTAATAATTAATTTTCAGCTCAACTTTCATAGTTTTTTCTTCCTTAAGAAGCTTCTCCTGACAATAACAAATATAACAAAAGAGTAATTGGTGAAATCGGTATAACGATAATATTATATATGGTATTTTATCAATATAAGTTCAAAGGTACTATTTTCATTTTATTTTTTTACTATTTTTTTTTTTCATATAGATACTAATTGAGATTACCTATACGGCTATACAGTCTATAAAACATATATTAAAAAAACTTAAAATAAACAAAAATTAGTTTAAATACATAAAATTAAAGTAATATTTGTAAAAATGAGTTTAAAAATGCAATGAAATGCATTTAACACAAAAAATGCAAAAATTCAAAATAAAAGTTACACATTCTAAATATCACGAAACAGTTTTTGGTTAGAATTGTGTAGCAGTATAACACTTAAAGAAAAAATGCAAGACACCATAATCCTAGCTCTACTTATAAGTTATAACTGACAATAATTCTGATAACTATTGCGATTATTACGATTGACCGATAATGGTCAATTCCTAAAATACAATATAACGATCCACATTACCCGATTTCTTATTTCACGGTCGACAGTCAATGGTATAATTAATTTTTATAGCGATCGACTGGTTGGCGACCCCTGCGGTTCTGCGGCCTAATGTGTTTCGCGCCAATTTGAGCATGGCCGCATGGGACATGCACAGGGGCGCAACTAGGGGGGGGTTAAGGGGTTGTAACCCCCCCGAAATTTCTCCGAGGTTTAGTTAAAAACAACATTCTGAAAACATGAAGGATTTATCTTATCTATATATTATATAGTACTAATGTAACCCCCCCCCCCCCGAATTTTTTTCTAGTTGCGCCACTGGACATGCATCATAAAATATAAATATTGGCTCATTGTTACATGGGTTTTGTAAACAGAAACTTGAGTCATCGTTTATTTAAAAAAAAATCTAAAATTTTGAACACATTGTCATTTGTATATTACCCCTGCTCCATCAAAATTCAAAAGTAAGGGCATGCGCATTTGCACCACTTTCAAACATTAGATTTAAGCACTGTTCCAACAAATTACTTCGATCCAATCCATTTTGCCTCAGAAACAAGAAAATGGCAATATGGCGTTTTCCAGTGGCCATTTAGACCTACGGCCATAAAAAGTGCATGTACGGTATACTACCTTGATCAGCGCCGTCATGCGTAGACGCCGGAAGCCTGAAACTACAACCCCTTTCAGTCTAAAATAGCATTTAGGCTATGGTTTAGGGCGTTTAGCCCCAAAGGTCTATGGACCATCCGACCCATAGAGAAATAAATTAAACCCAAATTTTAAATGCCTTATCAGGTGGTATCAGTAAACAGTCGGCAAACTTTGCTTTCGTTGCCTTCGCAAAAACACGCCTAATATTATTCATCGATAAATGATAAGGTAACTACTGATAAGATATTAACGACGGTTTAAGATATGGAATATCTTAAACCATGCTATTATTATTTTATGCTATTATAAGTATTAACATGCTCAAATTGATCACTGCAGTCTGCAATGTACGGTTTAAATACAATTTATAATAGTTGTCTGTTTATCACACATGAAACAAGTTTCATACAATAGTTAACGAACCAGTAGTCAGTACCCATAGAAATTGAGGAAAACGTTCTATAATAGCGAATTCCCAACCCAACCCTAGGTTATAGGTAAGGAATAGTGGTTTATGAATTTTGATTACAGATTTATGAACACAAGTATTTTGTATAGAATATCGATTTAGTTTATTGATAGTTTTTTGAGATGAAATGGATGCCATTAAAGAAGGTATTGCAACAAGCATACCTAATGAAATTAAGAAACGCAAGAAAAAGAAAATAGTCAAAGGTAGAATTTTTTAATATTGAAATTATTACGTATTGTTTTAAGCTAGGTATAATTGGCATTAATCAAATTTCATATTATTAAATAAATGGTCTTCATTTAATAAGCATTTAATATACATTGAGTGTCATTGTACACAAACCAGCTACTGTCNGCAAAAACACGCCTAATATTATTCATCGATAAATGATAAGGTAACTACTGATAAGATATTAACGACGGTTTAAGATATGGAATATCTTAAACCATGCTATTATTATTTTATGCTATTATAAGTATTAACATGCTCAAATTGATCACTGCAGTCTGCAATGTACGGTTTAAATACAATTTATAATAGTTGTCTGTTTATCACACATGAAACAAGTTTCATACAATAGTTAACGAACCAGTAGTCAGTACCCATAGAAATTGAGGAAAACGTTCTATAATAGCGAATTCCCAACCCAACCCTAGGTTATAGGTAAGGAATAGTGGTTTATGAATTTTGATTACAGATTTATGAACACAAGTATTTTGTATAGAATATCGATTTAGTTTATTGATAGTTTTTTGAGATGAAATGGATGCCATTAAAGAAGGTATTGCAACAAGCATACCTAATGAAATTAAGAAACGCAAGAAAAAGAAAATAGTCAAAGGTAGAATTTTTTAATATTGAAATTATTACGTATTGTTTTAAGCTAGGTATAATTGGCATTAATCAAATTTCATATTATTAAATAAATGGTCTTCATTTAATAAGCATTTAATATACATTGAGTGTCATTGTACACAAACCAGCTACTGTCGATCGCTATGAGACTTATTTACTTTGGGGTAAAACTTAACAATCTATTATGTTAAACAATAGAAATAATTATTTTTTTTTGTTAAATATCGAACTGAATATAATATTTAATATTTCTTAATAAATGGATTTTTAATTTTAGACTCTAATACCAATACAACTGCCATTGCTTCCAAGACTTTAAATGATGTTAATCATTCATCAGAGTAAGTGTGAAAAAGGATTTAACCTGTATCCACTAGCGATGGGTAAAAATGTATAGTATTAAAAAAAATGTATTATATTTTGTACTTTTGTAGTGCCATTACTTAAACAATGTATTACAACAAGTTTATTATACTAGGATTTCTATCCCGCACCAGTGGTCACAAGTTAATAATTTAAATTCTATACTTGATTGTTTTTTTCTGCAAAGTTTCATAATAAATGAACCTCTTTAAAATAATTTATTCATTCAAATGTATAAAACTATGTAGAGATATCTCTAATTCCTATAATAATGTCATGATAATAATTTATATTTTATAAGTCTAAAGTATTAAATTAACTAACTTAAAAATAAAAAACTGTAAAATATAAGGAAATATTAATGTATACAGTATACAGGAAATTAATTATAATAATAATCATTTGTAATATAATTATTACGTTTATATAGATACAATAATAATTTTACTTTTTATAGAACTTATTAATTATTATATCATATGGCATGTATATAAAGACTTATAATGTAGCAATTAAACACGAAAAATCTGAATTTGCAACTTGTACTAGACTTTATTACATACTATTTACATTTGTATAATTTCTTAATTTTAGAATTTATATTGTATTCTGATATTATTTTTTACTGAAAATTTATGTGGTATATAGTATAGTTGTTAACACACTTTTTAAGCCCAAGACCATTCTAAGTACAATTCTAAAAGCCCAGCTCAGTTCTACCCGATCCATTTTACTTCAGTTTAATATGCGTGCAAAATAAATAGCTTGGTCCAACCTAATTAATGATATGACAACAGGCTGAACCATCTAATACCTAATAAATATCTAATGGTACCTATTGTTATATCTATTTATTATAGAATTTTTTAATTTTAGGAAATATATTTAGGTTTTTCCAATGCCCTTAATTCTAATGAATATTGAATGTCATATGTTTCTGTTTTATAGATTAAAGAAAATGCTTAAAGAAAAAAAAAAAAAGAAAAAACCAAATGAGGTTTGTGCTTATATTATTTCATATAATATATTATATTTTAGTTTTAAATATTGAGTTATATTTTTTTATAAATCTGTAAAATAGTGATATTTAAAATTAGAGCTTTCAAATATGAATAATTGGAATGTAGAGTTCTGAATTTATATATTTTTTTAGGTGGTGCTTAAAGAAAAAAAAATGGTACTGGAAGAAGTGATAGAAAAAACACTACCAGTCTCTAACAATACTAAATCCAATGAACTGCAAAAAAAAGCACAATCCAATTTTAAATGTTCTGTTTGTTCTAAAACATTTATATTTCATTCTTTATTAGTGAGACACAATACACAACATACACATGAAAAACCATTTGAATGCGTAATTTGTGCCAGCTCATTTACGCAAAAAGTGTCTTTGGATCATCACTTAAAATTACATTCTGGTGAGAAGCCTTTTGAATGCAAAATTTGTGGCTCAACATTTTCAAAAAAATCAAACTTAAGTACCCATGAAAAAACACATACTAATGAAAAACTTTTAGTTTGTAAATTTTGTAACAAATCATTTAAGCAATCATTTACATTAGTTAATCACGAAAGAACCCATACCGGTGAAAAGCCTTTTCAGTGTAATGTGTGTTTGAAATCGTTTGCAAAAAAATATGGATTGGATGTACACTATCGAATACATACTGGTGAGAGACCATACTTGTGCGTAATTTGTAACGGATCATTCCTTACCAACAGCGATCTAAAGAGACATACAAAAAGAAACCACAAAACATAATACAAAATGTTGACAGTTAAAAGTAATTTTGTACTCATTTTTAATTTGTACATACCTTACAATATTAGAGAACTTTGAAATAGAATTTGGTTCTTCATGTATTTAAAAATAAATTTACATTATAATATAATATGTTAAATATGAGTGTAATGTTAAGAACATCTAGAACTAAAATAATAATACCAAAGTTCTGTTCTCTGTAGTACTTAATATAAATAAATAAATATACACATAATAATATTAAGAGTTGTGTTTCAACAAATTTAGTTGTGAATGTTTTATTACCTATGTTTATATTATATAACTATGATATAAATTATAAATAAGTATTAATTTATCCCTTAAATATTAAGTAATCAAATGTTCTGGTGTGAATTACAAACTATAGCGGTTTATTACTTTAATTTTGATAGCTATCTGTTTAAACAAGGCATTAATAAAATGTACTTATTAATTTTCAAATAAATTATTTATAAAAGTGAGAAAGTAGCTAGGTAACATTCTGCTGTGCAGTAGGTCGCGGCTTTAAATAGTATCTATTATCTAAAGCCATGATAGGTGTCTAGGAGGTTGCTGTAATAGATGGAATTAAATTTGAATTCAATGACATATCATTGTATACGAAAAATGATTCTGAGCGTAGATAGTATGTCAGTTGAAGATATTTTATATAATTTTACTTATTAATTATTATTAGTTATTATTAATATGGTACCTAGCCGGTAAGTTGAATTAATATTATTCTTAAATTATCAGTGATACTGGAAAAATATTAAATATAGGGACCCATGTATAATTGGGCTGTTTTGGAACCGAATAACAACAAAATCAAAACCATTATTCATTGTGTTAATATGCAATTTTGTCCAAATTTGAACTTAAAATGTCAGTAAAAAATAACTATTCATATATTTTTTATATTTATTAGTTATGGAAAAAATTGCTTAAGTGGAACCTTGTTTTAAATTTTCATTCTTTAGCTATAAAAATTAAACAATTTTAACCACAAATTCATTTTCAATTTCATAAATATTGTCAACATTTGAACTGCTTATTAAAAAAATCGTGCTTATGTATTTTTCAACTGTTATTGTAACAATATATCAAGAGTCTTGATGTATACATTTTTATTCTTTTTGACCCAACAAATAAAATTTGATTAACATTTATGGCAAAAAAAAAAAAATTAAAAATGTCCTAAACAGCCTAACTAACCTTGACAATTTTATCATTTAAATGATTTTAAAAAATTTTGAAGGGGGTTATGGGCTCCCGAAGGCCAAAGAATTTTAAGAATCAAAATAAAAAAAAATTTTAAAAGAATTCGAAAGAATTTAAATTTAAAAATAATAATGGGAAGGGGGCATGGGTGCCCACAGGCAAATAAATTTTATGAATCAAATAAAACAAATATTAAAGACTGCAGTCAACAATAACAGTATTCTTAAACTCATATCTTTATTTACAAAAATTAGATCATGAAACAATGGATATTTATGAGGCACTAACTGATGATCAAAATTTTAAAAATGATTTTGCAAAATTGAACTATATTTAAATTATAGAAAAAAAATTTGAAGGGGGTATGGTTGCCCGCAGGCAAAAGAATTTAAAGAATCAAAAAAAAAATTTGATAGAATTTAAATTTGAAAATAATAATGGGATGGGCGCCCGCAGACAAAAGAATTTTAAGAATCAAAATAAAAAAATATTTTAAAGACTGCAGTCTACAATATCAGTATTTTTAAACTCATAGTTTTATTTACAAGAATTAGATCATGAAATAATGGATATTTATAAGGCATTAACTGGTAAACAAAATATTAAAAATGATTTTGAAAAATTGAACTATATTTAAATTATAGAAAAACAAATTTGAAGGGGGGTATGGGCGGCCGCAGGCAAAAGAATTATAAGAATCAAAAAAAAAAAATATTTTAAAGACTGCAGTCTACAATATTATACTAAGACATTGGCTTATTTTTCAGGTGTCCATAACTTTATAGTAAGTACCTTAGTTTATGTAGGTAAGTACCTACAACCTACTTTATTTATAAATTGTATAGGAATTCCAAAAAATACTTCGTTGTTGGTAAATAATATTTTAAGCACTCAGGACTATTAGGTACCTAGATAATAATAAATAAGTTGTACTTATATTATAATACAATTTCATATAATATTAGTGTTTTGCATACAATTATAACCAACACATAACTTATAAGTTAATACTCAATACCGTAGTAGGACGTAATACGCACTAAACGTATTAGTAATATTATAGTACCTAAATACTTATTAATAAGGACAATGCGGTTATTAAACATAATGGATATGAGTTTCAAATCCTTGCAAATAATATTTTTTGAACTATAAAAAAACTATAAAAGGTTTGAGCAGAAATCTTTATTTTAAGTGTGACAAAATTTCGTCAAAATTACCTTCAATCAACAATTTAAGTGCGGTTACACGCTGTACGCTAAATTTAATTTAATTTTTAAATTATATAAAAAGAGGTACGATGAATCTTTGATCCGAAACTTTTTGCAACTTCGAGTTGCTACCTACTACTGTAGTCTGTAAGTACCCTACAAAATTGTCTATAACCGACAGCGATCAGACGATAGAGATGATTACCAAATCAGAAAACTGTCGAGTATCCATAATGTTATGGTAAATATACTTAAAAAAAAAAAAAATCATAACGAAATTGTTCGGTGAAATACGATTGAGAACAGTACCTAAATATTTTGGTTGAAATCAGCAAAAAATAATGTTTTATTGTACATCATAATATCATATATTTACACCTATTACATTATTTAAAATAATTAGTTCATTAAACACCGATTATTTAGAAAACACCAGCTGGTTATCTATTAAAATTTAAAAAAAAAATTTACCAAAATTTAAAAAATGTTTATAAAAAAATGAACTAGAGTTAAATTATAGAAAAACAATGGGATGGGGTCGTGCTGGTCGGCAAATGTATTTTAAATAGCAAAAATATATTTGTTTTTAAATTTATACAAAAAAAATCAATTTAAATTAAATTTAAAAAAAAATGAAAAGGGGAACGTGACGCTTACAAGCATTCATATTTTAAAAATAAAAAATAAAAATTTTGAGGGCTACAACTAAAGACTGCAGTGTACAATCTTCAGATGCTTTAACTTGAAAATCTAGTAGTGATTTAGGTAACAAATGATTAATCAAATGTCTCATAGACGTAACAAAATGTATACAAAAATAAAAACTTATTATATATATAATGAAAAAAAGTGAAAAAAATATGATCAAAGTTTTATCGACTTTACTTTAGTGCATTAAAATAATGTTTAAAATGAAACTTATTATGGATGCAAACAATTAAATTGAAAGAGATTAACGGCTTTTTTACGTAAAATCAATTTTGAAAGAAATAATATAATGTTTAATTCAAAATCTTTTACATATTAAGTGTAATTTATATTTTTTAAAGGAAATATTCTATTAAAAAAATAATATTTCTATAATAAATGGCTATACAATTTAATGAAACATGTTTACCCCCTATATAGAAAAATTGTATAGTTCTCTCGTTGATAAAAATACAACGATAGAGTAGTATGAAAACTTACAAAAAAATTGGGAAGTGTTCAATATACAAAATCTTTGTGAATTCACTAGTTTATATAATAAGATCGATGTTTTATTACTAACAGATATAATGGAAAATTTTAGAGATATTTCTTTATAAAATTATAAAATAGATCCTCTGTGGTACTACACAACACCTGGATTTGGGTGGGAATGTGGAATAGTATGTTAAGAATAACAAATGTAAAACCAGATTTATTAATAGATGTAGTCATGTAGATCAAATATTGATGTTTGATTCCAGAATCTATAGGGGGTTTATCTCAATGTAGCCAAAGATATTCAAAAGCAAATAATAAATATATTGTATATATAAATTTAATAAAACTCTGGAATCAACATTTTTAGAATAATTGGATGCAAATAATCTTTATGGGTGGGTTAAATACTTTAATAGTTAGTAAATATTTACCTAATGGAGATTTCAAATGGGTTGATAAGCTGAATAATTTTAGTGCAATGAATATTTCTGATGAATCACTCAAAGGTCATATTTTAGAAGTCGATTTATCTTACCCTAAAGAACTACAGATCTACATTCAGATCTTCCCTTAGCACCAGAAAGACAATTTGATAATGGAGAACTCCCAAAATTATATATTAAATTATTAGGTTTAAAGATAGAGAAAATTCAGAGTGTTAGAATTTAGTCAATCTCCTTAGTTATGAGTTTATATTGATTTTAACACTAATTTTAGATCAAAAGCTAAGAATGAGTTTGAAAAATAATACATCAAAATAATGAACAACAGTGTTTACTGTTTATGGACGTACTATGATGAATGTAAGAAATCATGTTGATATAAGATTATGTTCTAATGAAAATATGAAATCAAACTAGAAAAATTAATTGCGAAACCTAATTTTGATAGAAGGACAATTTTTACAGAAAATTTAGCTGCAATCCATATGACAAGAACACAAATACTTTTCAAACAACCAATATATACATATGGGGAGGGTGTTTTAGATTTATCTAAATCATTGATGTATGATTTTCATTATAATATAATAAAGAAAAAATATGGAAATAGAGTTGGATTGTTGTTTACCGGTGCAGATTCACTAATATTAGAAATAAAAACTGATGATTTCTACCAGGATATAAAAAATAATTTAGATCATTTTGATACATCTGATTATCCAAAAGATAATATTTATGAGATTCCCTTAGTTAACAAAAAAGTTTTAGATAAGTTTAAAGATGAATTGAATGGTAAAATAATGATTGAATTTATAGGATTAAGATTCAAATTATATTCACAGCAAATCTTAGATACTGAAAAAGAAATTTAAAAAGTTAACGGTGTTAAAAAAAATGTAGTGGAAAATAAACTATGTTTTAATGATTTTTTGAATTGTTATTGTATAATAAAAACCCAAAATATGTTAGGCAAAATGTATTTAAAACTAAGTTACATGATATTTTTACTGTAGAACAAAACAAAAAAGCTATAAGTGCTTATGATGATAAAACATTTGTTTTGTAAAACACAATTGACACATTAGCGTGGGTTCATTATAAAACAAATATAGATAGAAATGATTTTGTAAAACATCTTAATTTTTTTTTTTAAGCTATCAATATAAAATTATTACA